AATACTGTACCTGGATTTCCAGAAAGTATTTGATAAGGTTATTGCTGAAAATAAAAGCTCATGGTATGGGGGGTAGCATATTTGCATGGGTAGAGGATTGGCTAGCTGGCAAAACATAGTCATTATGCATAAATGGGGGTTTGTCTAATTTGCACAAATCCTGCAAGGGACTCAATTGGGTCTTCAACATTTTACAGCTTATTTCAATCAGTTAAATTAGGGGAGCAAAGGCATGGTAGCTAATGTCACAAATGACACCAGAGGTAGGAAAGTATGTTGTGAAGAAGACGTATGGATCTTGCAGCTAGATACAGATAGGTTAAGTGAGTGGAAAAAAACCTCGTAGATGGAGTATAATGTGAAAAAAATGTGAAGTCGTTCACTTTTGCAGGAAGAATGTAAAAAACTAAGCATTATTTAAATGGAGAACAGCTACAGAATTCTAAGGTGCGGAGGGATCTGGGTACTCTAGCCCATTTTGTTTATTCACTTGTGGGGCATGGGCATTGCTGGCTGACCAGCATTTATTGCCTATCTCTAGTTGCCCTTGAGAAGGTGGTGGTGAGATGCTTTCTTGAACCACTGCAGTCCATGTGCTGTAGGTAGGCCCACAAGACATAAGTCACTGAGTTAGTATGTAGGTAAAGCATGAAATCAAGAAGTCTAATGTTAGGTTAACCTTTCCCATGAGAGGGAATGAGTATAAAATTAAGGATATTATGCTTCAGTTATACAGAGTGTTGTTGAGGCCACATCTTGAATACAATGAGTAGTTTTGGTCCCAAGTGTGAGGAAAGTTGTAAATGTAATGGAAGTGGTTCACAGGCAGTTTATTAGTTTGACATCTGATGATTAAGTTGTCTTGTGAGGATTTGTTAGACAGGCTGGGCTGGTTTCATAGAATTCCTACAGTGTGGAAGACGCCAAATGGCCCATTGAGTCCACACCAACCCTCCAAAGATTATTCTACCCAGGCCCACCCTCTTACCCTATCCCTGTAACCCCCCATTTCCCATGGCCAATCCACCTCACCTGCACATCTTTGGACTGTGGGAGGAAACCCATGCAGACACGGGGAGAAACGTGCAAACTCCACACAGATAGTCACTCGAAGATGGAATCAAGCCTGGGTCCCTGGTGCTGTAAAGCAGCAGTGCTAACCACTGAGCCGCTGCGTCACCACACCAGTTTAGACGAGTCGGGGTGACTTAATTGAAGTAAGATCCTGACTGGCCTGGTCAAGGTTGATGCGGAAAGGACATCTTCCCTTGTGGGTGAGTCCAGAGCCAAGAGGCACTGTTTTAAAATTAGGAATTGTCCTTTTAGGTCAGAGATGAAGTTGATTCTTTTCTCAGAGTTGTAAGACTTTGAAACTCTCTGCTTCAGAAGGTAGTGGAAGTGGATCACTGAATTTTTTTAAGGCAAAAGCAGATAGATTCTTGTTCAGCAAGGGAAATCAAAAATTATCAGGCATACATTTGAATGTAAAATTTGAAACATTAAAATCTGCCATACTCGAGGGGCTGAATTGCCTACCTCCACACCTATTTTGCATATGTGTCTGAGTCCAGGACAGCCCATCAGATATTAGGATATTACTCATGGGGGATGAGTGGCAACTGCAAATAGAAACATTGTGGGGAGGGGTTGCCATTTGGCAAACGGGTGTTTGAGGTAGTTTGAATGTTGGAATACAAACATATGAAATATGGGGTTGCATCAATAGATGGAATACAAACTAAAAACCCTGGTGAAAGGATGTAAGGTGTCGACCTGAATTGGTAACTCTGTTTCTCTGCACAGATGCTGAGTTTGCCATCATTTTCTGTTCTTACTTTAAATTTTCAGCATGCAGTTTTTGGTTTTGTATCAATAGGTGGAAGAGGCAGATACAGACAGAAACCGGAGAGAAATGCCTCCAACAGTGCTGCACAGATTCTATAATTTAGAAGCTAGTGATAACAGGGAAGATTTCTTGAGTGACAGTTTCAACAATTGGAAGAGTGGAATTAGGAAGTTATAACATTGAGAGACAATGGGAATGCAAGGCTGTTAGCTTCCTGTATAAATATTGGTTTGTATTCTTTTCATAAAGTTACCTCTGTATCCACACAACATTTTTCTTCATGCTTCTGCCTGTAATCATTGAACCTTTAATGTCTCTCACCTGATGAATCAGTATTTCTCCATGTTGAACACAACTTAGAGTCCTGAGGGTAGCAAGGGCAAAGAATGTACTCTGGGTGAATTGACAGCACCACTACCAACTATGCTGGTCAAGTTCTAAAGGACATAGCTGCTAGATTGGGTCTACAGCAGGTGGTGAAGGAGCCAACAAGGGGGAAAAAAACCACATTTGACCTCAACCTTACCAATCTAACTACCGCACATACATGTATCCATGATAGTATTGATAAGAGTGGCCACTGCACAGTCTTTCTGGAGACAAAGTCCCATCTTCACATTGAGAATATCCTCCACCATGTCAGGCAGTACTATCACCATGCTAAATGGTATAGATTTCAAACAAATCTAGCAAAACTGGGCATCTACAATTACTCCAACACAATCTGCAACATCATGGATCAACATATTCCTCACTCTAATATCAACATTAAGCCAGGGAGTTATAGAAACTTCAAAACAGGAGCAGAGGTAGGCCATTTGTGCCTTTCAGCTTGCTCTGCCATTCAATATGATAATGGCTGATCATCCAACTCAGTACCTTGTTCCTGCTTTTTACCCATAATATTTGATATCTTCAGCCCTAAGAATCACATTTAACTGTTTCTTGAAAACATTCAATGTTTTGGCCTCATTTGTTTCCAACCAGCAGAGAATTTCACTGGCTTACCAGAGTGAAGAAACTTTGCCTTACCTCAGTCCTAAATGGTCTACTCCATATCCTTAAACTGTGATTCCTGGTTCGACACTCAATGGTCATCAGGAACATCCATCCTGTATTTACCCAATCCAAATCTGATATAAATCTATAAAATTCTATGAAATCCCCTTCATTGTGCTAAACTCCACTGAATACAGTCCCAATCAATCCAGTCTCTCTTTATATGTTAACTATAGTTCAATGAAGAGTGTAGGTAGGAATATCAGGAGCAGCACCAGGCATACTTAAAATGAGGTATCAACCTGGTGAAGCTACCAAACAGGACTATTTGTGTGCCAAACACATCAACAGCAAAAGACAGACCAGGGCAAGTGATTTCACAACCAATGGATCAGATCCAATTTCCACAGTCCTGCCAAATCCAGTCATTAATGCTAGTGGACATTTTAACAGTTTACTGGAAGAGGAAGCTCCACAAATATCACCATCCTCAATGAGGGAAGAGACCAACACCGTGTGGAGCTGGAGGAACACGGCAGGCCAGTCAGCATCAGAGAAGCAGAAAAGTTGATGTTTCAGGTCAGGACCCTTCTTCAGAAATGGGCGAGGGGGAAGGGAGCTCTGAAATAAATAATGAGGAGGGCTGGGGAAGGTAGGTGCGATGGTGATAGGTGAGTGCAGGTAGGCAGTGGTGGGGATTGGTCAGTGAGGTGGGAGAGAAGGTGGACAGGTTGTGTCAGGTCAAGGAGGTGGGGATGAGAGGGAGGGTTGGTCATGGGATGAGGAGATTTTGAAACCGGTAAAGTCCACATTGAGAGCATTGGGCTGTAGGCTCATGAGGCAGAATATGAGGCGCTGCTCCTCCAGTTTCCAGTGGCATCATTATGACACTGGAGGAGGCCCAGGTTGGACATGTCATCCAGGGAGTGGGAGTTGAAGTGGTTTGCGGCTGGAAGATGTTGTCGATTGTCACGAACAGAGCACAGGTGCTCTACAAAGCGGTCTACAGGTGCTCTACAAAGCGGTCTCCGAGCCTCCGCTTGGTCTCACCAATGTAGAGGTGGCCTATCAGTAGGTAGAATCCCTGTCTCTGAGCCAGAAACTCCAGGTTCGAGTCACACTCCAAACTCAATGGACAAGGAAGATATGTTTGTAAAGTGGCCAAACAGATTGAGAACTAACTTGTAAATCCTTCCAGCACACACTAATGGCAAGCCATAACAGCTGGAAAGATTCCTTACCAGCAATTTGATGAAAGAAATTGTAACTACTACTCATACATCCAGCTGCCACATGCAAGTAAAATTGTGTTAATGTTTCAGGTTTAGTAACCCTTTTTCAGAATTGGAGTGCTGAAGAAGAGTCACTGGATCTAAAATATTAATTCTGTTTTCTCTTCACCGATGGTGCCAGAGCTGCTGAGTTTTTTCCAGCAATTTCCTTTTATGTTTCTGATTGCCAGCATCTGCAGTTCTTCAGTTGTTTTATTTTTAAATTAAAAAGTGTGTTTGCCAGAATAACTTAGTGATTGGGGAGCAGTCGGCTACAGTCTGGAGCCAATGGCATGGTGTTCAATACCAGTTCTACTTAAGATGTATTGGGTGCACGCATCACTGTGCCAACTCCCAGGCTGATCGGTACTGCTGCGGGTCAGACTCATCTTTGGGCAGAGAGCATTTAAATGTAGAATCCCGACAGTGTGGAAGGAGGCCATTCGACCCATCGAATCCACAAAAACCCTCCAAACAGCATCCCAGCCTATCCCTGTAGCCATTTCCCATGGCTAATCCACCCAACCTAGACATCTTTGGACTGTGGGAGGAAACCCACGTAGACACGGAGAGAATGTGCAAACTACACGCAGACAGCTTCCTGAGGTTGGAATTGAATCCGGGTCCCTGGCACAGTTCTGAGGAAGGGTCACCGGACCCGAAACGTTAACTCTGTTTTTTCCTTCACAGATGCTGCCAGACCTGCTGAGCTTTTCCAGCAACTTTGTTTTTGTCCCTCGCACTAACCACTGAGCCACACTGCCGCCTCGCACCCACTTTGTCGTAAACGCTGGAGCCCCGAACAAACATGGCCGCTGCGGCCGCACTACACTGACAGTCCGCATGCGCAGTGTAAACCACACCCACTGTCGCGCATTCCCTGCCGTCGGTCAGTTTTCCTTCCGGTCGAAGACGCCTGCAGTTGGAGAGCGAGCGCTGAATCTGTGACATGAAGATTTAACTGTTATATGTGGAAGTGCGGACAGTGAGAAATCCTCTGCGATGGATATACCGGTGCCTCCTGAGGGTGAGTGCCGGAATGTACCCCTTTGGAACCGAACTTGGGCTGGGAAATGTGTTTTTTTTAATTATTTTGCAGGAACATACGGGCCCTTTCCTTGCGCCGCTTTGGCCTGATCTGGGCCCTTGTCCGCTCCGAGCATGCGTGCCCGCCAGTCTCGGGTCTGCGCCTGCATGGAATGTCACTCGGTGGCAGTTGCGCATGCGCAGACTGAGTTCTGGTCGGGGGATTTTGGCTGTTAAAAAGCTCCTCAGTGAAGAAGGGAAAGCGGCTATGGGGCTTTGGGGCTTGTTACCTAGCCTGACAATCGAACGGAAGCTTCAGTGTCGGCTTCAAAATGGTTCTTTGGGAACATCTGTTAAACGTAAAACTCCTCTCCCCCCCCCCCCCCCCCCCGTGAAAACAATGGTGTGACTTATTGAACCATTTCACAGCCTTCTAGATTGATCAGCCCACAATCCTATATAAAATAATATCTTCTAATTTCAGTTTTATTTTTCTCGAGCAAAGTTTTCGTTGCCTCAGCGTTCTGAAATTTTTCTTTGTAATCTACAAAATGTGTGCCTCCTTCAAGAAAATAAAGGTGTAGAAGAGTTGACATTCTGCCTTATTTCTTCAGCTTCAATCTAACTTTCACTGATACAAATGTTTACATAATTTGCAGAAATATCATACCCAGTCACACTTAACCTATGATGTTGCACAGAAAGTATTAATGTGTCTAGGTTTCTCGGATAGCACAGGAATTCTTTGGATGGGGAAAATTTGCTTTACAGTAACAAAACTGGTCAAGAGTGGTGGTTTGATACCTGTCGACAAAAGGTATTCTTTGTTCAAAGTGTCATCACAACATCAAGTATCACTACAAACTTGAACATGGAAAACAAATCATGTGTTGCTTTAAGAGATTAGGCCTCAATAGGATGTCTGCCAGATTCAACGGCACTGTTCACGGTACTGGGAAATGCTGGCAGATAAAGTTTGATGGAGGAAAGTGTAAGGTCATACACTTTGATAGGAAGAATCAATAGCCAAGACATTACTTCATGGAGAGAGACTCCAAAAAAAATGCATGCACCATGGTGGGATCTACATACTTGTGTTCACAAAATACAAAATGTTAACATGCAAATGAAGCAAATAATTAGGGAGGCAAATTGAATGTATACCTTTGTGGCTTATGGTTTGAATATTAAAAGCAGGAAACCCCTGTTACAACTCTATAGGTGTAGATGAGGCTGCAGCTGGAGTACAGTGTGCAGTTTAGGTTGCTGTATTTAAAAATAGATATACTAGTATTGGAGGCAGTGCTAAAAAGATTCAGTGGCCTGCTTCCTGGGATGAGGGAGTTGACTTATCGTGAACAGCTAAACATGTTAGGCTTTATTCATTAGAACGAGGAGTGATCTTAGATAATAGAAACTCTACAGTGTAGAAACAGGCCCTTTGGCCGAACAAGTCCCCACTGACACTTGGGGCATCCCATCCAGACCCATCACCCTATAACCCACCTAATCCACACATCTCTGAACACTACAGGCAATTTAGCATCGCCAATCCACCTAGCCTGCACATCTTTGGACTGTGGGAGGAAACTGGAGCACCCGGAGGAAACCCATGCAGAGATGTGAAGAATGTGCAAACTCCACACAGACATCGCCCAAGGGTGGAATCGAACCCGGTCCTCTGGCGCTGTGAGGTAGCAGTGCTAAACACTGAGCCACCGTGCTGCCCATTGAAATGTACAAGATTCTGAAGGGACTTGATAGGATAGATGTTGAGATTTTTTCACTGGAGTTAGGGAATGTAATAATAACAGAGAATTTTTTTTTTTTAAAACTGAGGCGCGTAGGAATTTCTTCTCCCAGAGGGTCATGAATGTCTGGCATTCTCTATCTTTTCGTTGTGAAGGTTAGGCCACTGAAAGTGTTTAAAGAGATGGGCAGATTTTTGAAAATTCAAGGTGTTGAGGGTTATGGGAGCTGGCATGAAAGCAGATTTGAGGCTTGGTGTAGTTCAGCCATAATCTCACTGTATGGCAAGGCATGCATGATGGACTGAATAGCTTACTGCTGCTATTGCTTATGGACTTAAGTTACCTTAGTTGTTAAAAATAACTGTTGCCATCTTTCCCTATAAAACTGATTTTTGAAAGGTACCCATTGTTCATTAAGCATGCTAGCACGTACATAGAAACAAAATGCTGTAGACACTGGAAATGTTCAACAGACCAAGCAACATCATTGGAGAAAGAAGCAAAGCTGATATTTCAGGTTAATGACCTTACATCAAAATTTTATTCTGTTAATCTGATTTGTTGGTTGAATGGTGAGCGTTGATTATGGCACAGAACTCATTACAGGTGAGACACCAGCATCTTATCCAAGTGACTGCAATCATGAGAGTCCTGTATTTAGATCATAGAACCCCTACCCTCTGGAAACAGGCCCTTCGGCCCAATAAGTCCACACCAAACCTCAGAGCATCCCACTCAGATCCTATAACCCAACTAATCTACACATCCCTGAACACTATGGGCAATTTAGCATAGCCAACGCACCTAGCCCGCACATCTTTGAACTGTGGGAGGAAACTGGAGCACCCAGAGGAACCCCACACAGAGACGGGGAGAATGTGCAAACTCCACACAGACAGTCACCCAAGGGTGGAATTGAACCCAGGTCCCTGGTGCTGTGAGGCAGCAGTGCTAACCACTGACCCACCGTGCTGCCAAGAATTAGAGTCTTTCAAATGAGAGGGCTTCAAGTTTCTATGACATTGTTCAGAGCATTCCATCTCCAAGAAAGAGATCTTTCTATCTAAGATGTTTGGCAAAGTAGTAGTTACTTTAATTATTGTAGTTGAGATTTTTTAATTTATCCATGGGATGTGGGTGTTGCCCGTTTATTGCCCGTTCCTAGTTGCTGTAGAGAAAGTAGTGATGGCTGCCTTTTTGAATTGTTGCAGTCCATTTGTTGTAGGTAGACACACAATGCTGTGAGGGAAGGAGCTCTAGGATTTTGACTCAGCAACACGGAAGGAATGGCAATATATTTCCAAGTCAGGATGGAGAAAAACTTGGTGACGATGTTCCCATGTATGGTTCCCATGTATGCTTCCCATGCTTCCCTTCTAGATAGTAGTCATGTGGGTTTGGAGAAGGCGCTGTTAGAGGAGCCTCGGAGGATTTCTGCAGAGCGTCTTGTAGATGCTACAGAGTATCTGTGGTGAGCAGACTCTCGGGCACATTCTTCAAGTACATTTCAGAGCAAAAGAGTAATAGAAAGAGAGTAGGGCCCCTTAAGAATCTACGAGGTTGTCTTTGTTTTGCACTTCGGGAGATGGGAGAATATTAAATGAATATTTTGCATCAGTTTTTACTGTGGAGAGAGAAGTGGAGGCCTAAGAACTCGGGGAAGTAAATATTGATGTTTGAAAACAGTTCATCTTACACAAGAGGAAGTGCTGGATGTCTTAGAAAACATAAAGGTGGATAAATCTCTGGGACCTGATCCAAGTGTATCCCAGGACATTGTGGGGCTCCCAGCAGGTATATTTGCATCATCTATAAACCATTGGTGAGGTGCTAGAGGACTGGAAGGTGGCTAATCTTGTACCTTTATTTAAGAAAGGCTGTAAGGAGAAGCCTGGGCAGTGTAGACCCACAAGTTTGACATTGGTGATGGGTAAGTTGTTGGAGATGATTTTGAAAGATAGAATTTAGATGCATTTGGAGAGACAAGGAATGATTAGGGATAGCACGGTTTCGTGCGAGGGAAATCATGTCTCTCAAACTTGATTGAGTTTTTTGAGGAAGTAACCAAAAAGATTGAGGGCAGAGCAGTAGACGTTGTTTACGTGGAATTTAGTAAAACATTTGATAGGTTTCCACATGGTAGACTAATTAATAAAGTTAGATCACATGGGATTCAGAGTGAGCTTGCTAATTGTCTATGAAATTGGCTTTACAGTAGGAGACGAGTGGTTCCTATCAATGTGGACTTCACAAGCTTCAAAATCTCCCCTCCCCCTACCGCATCCCAAAACCAGCCCAGCTCGTCCCTGCCTCCCTAACCTGTCCTTCCTCCCACCTCAAGCTCCACTCCCTTCTCCTACCTACTAACCTCATCCCGCCCCCTTGACCTGTCCGTCCTCCCTGGCCTGACCTATCTCCTCCCTAACTCCCCACCTACACTCATCTTTACTGGCTCCATCCCCGCCTCTTTGACCTGTCTGTCTCCTCTCCACCTATCTTCTCTATCCATCTTCTTTCCACCTCCCCCTCTCTCCCTATTTATTTCACAACCCCCTTCCCCTCCCCCATTTCTGAAGAAGGGTCTAGGCCTGAAACGTCAGCCTTCCTGCTCCTCTGATGCTGTTTGGCCTGCTGTGTTCATCCAGCTCTACATCTTGTTATCTCTGGTTCTCAAGGGTTGTTTTTTGGACTAGAGGCCTGTGACCAGCAGTATTCCACAGGGATTGGTACTGGGTTCACTTTTGTCATTAATGTAAATGCTTTAGATGAGAATATAAAGGGCATGGGTAATAAGTTTGTGGATGACACCCAAATTGCTGGTATAGTGGACATTGAAGAAGGTTACCTCAGAGTACAAGGAGATCTTGATCAGTTGGATCAATGGGCTGAGGAGTGGCACATGGAGATTAATTTGGATAAATGACAGGTATTGCAATTTCGTTTAACAGACAAGAGTAGGACATACACAATTAATGGTAGAACCCTGGGTAGTGTTGTGGAACAGAAACCTAGGGGTTCAGGTACATAATTCTTTGAAATTTGTGTCAATGTAGACAGGGTGGTTAATAAACAGTTTAGCACGCTTGCTTTCATTGCTCAGACCTTTGGGTATAGGAGTTGGGAACTTATGTTGAGGTTGTACAGGTTGTTGGTGAGGCCTCTTCTCGCAAATGTAAACCTTGTGATGGGAGGACTATGTGCAGTTTGGTCACCCTGTTAAGGGAAGAATATTAATAGACTGGAGAGGGTT